AAAGATGGACTTCTGGTTCCGGTTCACGGCGACTGCGGTTGTACGAAGAGACTCATCTCTTCACCGGCAGATTCTCCTTCACCGGTAGACCCTGAAGGGGGTTGAAAGTTGCCCTGGAGGGGTGACCACCGATGAGGAGGCTTTCTGGTGACTGCGGGAGGGTGGCAGCTTCTCCCGTGGCTCCAGCTGACTCCTTAGGGCCGACAGAGCAAAGATTGTCCTGCAAGATGGCCGATTATGCAGCGGGACCAGCCGAAAGTCACAAGAACATCTAAGCGTTAAGAACCACCACGGACGATCCGGGTGAGACCCTTCCTTTTCCTCTCTTCACCCTATTTTTCTCTTTGCCTGTAAAAAGCCCTCTTGGAACTATTTCCCTGCCTTGAGAGAGCGGCGTTTGTTTGCGTGGGAAGAAAAGCGCTGAATAAAAGGACAGAATAACTAATTTTAATGACTATATTTTACTTCTAACTGGGGTCCCAAAAAAACCCTTTTATAGAGCTTTTTTCTAAAAAAAAAAAGGAAAATTCATTTTATTGGTGTCTGGGAAAGATTCTGTAACCCACTGAGGACATCTTGTGGCAAAACATAATACTGCAATTGCCTGCTTCTGTTTGGAGATGAGGTTGGCTTGACCTTCAAACTATTATAAAAGGGAAAAGATAAAGAAGTTGATGCAGCTGTTAGAAACTGTGGGGGTGGAGATTGGTTAACCCTTATTAAATATAGCCTCCACTAAAAGATAAAAGGACTGCTTCTAACTATTATTGAAATGGAGAAACCTTATTTACAACTAAACTGTAAACTCATATTGGAAAAAAATCATGAAGCCACTGAGCAAGTATGTGCTAAAATAAAAGAGATTACTACAGAAATAAGAATCAGAAACCTTACTACAAACCCTCAAACTGACTTCCAGACTTCAACTGATTATCATATAGGCCAAAATACACCAGAAGAGGAATTAACCTATATTAAAGAGGAATTTATATTATCTCATAAGCATTCTATTGAGATTTCTGAGGATCAAAAGAGAACCTTAATCAAACTACATACAACTCCAAAAATAACAGGAATTGATGTTCAAACACGACTTACTGACAACGATGATAACTTTGATAACCAACTATTAACCATAAAAATTACATGTAATGGGTTAAAAAAGTTTTGTAGAGATACGGATTGATTTAAGGGATTTGGACTGATCTAACAATTAATTGAGTATGTCAAGTTAGTAAGATGATATTTTGTGTAATATGTGTGTTTTAGATATGATAATTATTTGGATGAGATTTAAATCCTACCTAATGGACTGAAATGATTTTGTGTTTTGTTTTGCTCTGTTCTGTTATAGAAATAGATTGACTGTTAGACTATATATACATAGAGTAATATTTTTATCTTAATTAGGATTATTATTTTGTAGTGGAGGAAGAAATAAGAGAAATTTGTGATAAAATTAATGATTTATTAGATTAATCTAGATACATCTGGAAATATTAAAATGTTATTGCTGGAATATTATGTGTATTTTAGAAGGGGTACCCGAAGTGCTAATATGTTTATTTAAAATTAAATCAGATTGTGGTAATTGTAAATTACTAAAGCTTAAAAACAGGATTTGGATCTATATAAATGTAATCTAGAAATGGATTATTTTAAATATGGTATACTATTGGAGGGAAACAGAGAGGGAACGTCTAATGTATTAATTTGAGTTATATATATATGACTTTGTTTTGGGATGATTGATTACCCCATCACCACAGTGTTTCTCGAGCATTTTGTTGTAAAAGTTAAAAAACCAATAAAACTTGTTTTAAAAAAAATCTTTAAAGATGGTAGTCCCTGGAAAGCTGCATGAAATATCTTTCATGACCATGGAAGATCTGAAAAGACCTAGCCAAATCTTCATTAGAGAAGCTGGTGCCTCCCCAAATACAAATTCTCCTTAATAAAAAGTAAGGAATAACCAAAAAAAGATATGGCATACTTTCAGGTAACTTGGATCTGAGTTATTTAGTTATGGTATGTGCAGAAGTTTGAAACAAAAGTATTTTGGGTTTCAAACACCTTACTTCAAAGAATATTTCTAGTTTGAGCAGCTACTCTAACCTTATTAAAAGTGTTTTGACATGATTTAAATATTCTGAAAGTGTGCGAAAGTCAGAAATAGGGCTATTTTGACTTTTGATTATTCCAGCACTTCTGGAATAATTAGGACTTCTGGTAAATCAGTGCAACACAATTTGAACATGAACAGTTTTGAGTTCAAAATGTCTCAAATTCTAAACATTTTGCACATCTCTACAATTTAGGTTTTAAAGGTGAAAAACAGTACTTTATATTTTGCCTGGAAACTTATGTACAGCCAGAACCAATATTTAAGAACATGCACAGTATGGTATGTTATTTATTCCCAGGGATAAAACTGGCTTCCACATTTTGATTTAACTGGAGTTTCAAATTACATACAAGAGCAACCCAATATAAAATGCACTGCAGTAGTCTAGTATTGTAGTTAACATTGTTGCGCCACTGTTTTAGCTGATGTTAGCTAGTCAGGCTTTGGCTGCACTGCATTAAGGCAGTTGGTTAAAATAATGGATTCTAAGGCAAACAAAGTGCAGCATTTCAACTGAAACCATGGTATTTTAATTAAATGCATGCCTCAAAAATTCATAATGGATGGAGACTTTCTGGAAGAAATTCAGTCACGCTTTTCTTCTGGAAGATGCAATCATCAAAGTGTTAACTGGTCTAGAATCCACTTGGAAGCTGAAAAAAGAATTTAGCCCTCTGGGGCACTATAAAAACACAGGGCAAAAATGACAGAAACAAGGAGTCACCAGTTCAGTGAAACCTTTCCATTTATCAATGTGGATCCCATTTGCTTTGCTCTTGCTCAAGAACAGATCAGGGAGTTTAGGTGAACAGTTTAAAGATATGAACTGCACTATATAAACTGCTCAGTCCATACAATTCCTGCCAGAAAAATAGAATCCCCATATGAACTCCAATCTTTTTGATAAAGACAGATCTAAATTGATAATGGAAGACAAGAAAATATGAAAACATATGTCACAGTATTTTTGTTTTAAAATAGCACAACTATTGCTATTACAGTTACTGTACAGATAGAGCTTGTAACTTACAGCTATCCAGTAAGGCTCGCATGTTGATGAATTGTATGAAATCAATTCAAATTGGAAACAGGGATGGAAAGTATGAGAGATTGAACAAGGTTGTAGGCAAAAATTAATTGCAGAACACCATTTATTTTTAAGATAAATGGGGTGGGGCTGTTGAAGAATAAACAATACAGAGGTGTGGATGGTCTGACCTAATAATTAAGATAGTTATAGGGCTCCAGACCTGGATAGCTGTGGGACAGCCTACTCTTAATTATATGTGACCATCCAGGAACATCTGGATGAAAAACTCTATGTCTGCTCCCTCAGGAAACTCACCAAAAAAGACTATGGAAGTGAGCCTCTGCAGCTATTTATTTATTTGTATCTTGCCTTTATTATTTTAATAAATAACCCAAGACGGTGACATATGTATGTATGTATGTGTGTGTGTGTGTGTGTGTGTGTTTGTTTGTTTGTTAAATTTGTTAAATGTTTTTATTAAACTTACTTATTATTAAAAATATTGCCCTTCTTCTGGAAATGGCATGTCAGCATTCTAATATTTCTGTCCTTTTGTCATTAAGAAAATGAGTAAAATGTTTGCTACTGTGTTCCAATCAGTGTGAAAGGCTTGGATAGTCTAATGTTGTTTCATAGATGTTGAAATAATTGTTTAATGTAAAATTCCCAGAATTCCCTAGCCAGCAGACACACATATATCACAGATATACAGATAGGGCTTTAAAATAATACCCAAAAGATAACTCATTAGTGATTCCTCATCGGATTGGAGAGCTGTATTCGGTTGAGTGTTACAAAGTTTGATACTGGGTGTCAACAATGGAAGCTTAGATTTTAAGTTACAGGAAATAATTTATTTGCTGTAAATTAGAATTTAGTTAATAAATTCCAATTTATTCCATCTTGGAAGATAAACCTGATTGATTGCTGTGTCCAGTGCTGGGCAATACACTTTAAAATGTTTCAAACACCTTAAGAGAAAGTAAACGAGAATAATAATGAAATTAGAAAATAAGCCACGTGAAGAGAGATGAAAGGAGCTGGAAGTGCGTGTAGCTCTGAGAAGACTTGAGGTATATGATAGCACTCACCAAATACCTGAAAAGAAATCAGCCATCACCTAACTTCCAAGAGTGTAGACTACGGAATGATGGCTTTAAATTATAGCAAGACTGATCCATTTTAATATTATAAAACAGTTCTTAATAATAAGATCAGTTTGATCACAGGTTGAATTATCCAGAAGGGCTTCCTTTCATTGGAAGTCTTTGAACTGGAGGCCAGAATTGCCATGTATCTACGATGTTTTAATTTGGATTCTTGCACTGTGTAAGAGATTAGGACTCTGGCAAAAAATTTCCCTTTCAAATACATTTCAAATATTCTATAAGAAGATATTGGAATAAATTGAGGCCGTAAGGGTCTGGATGGGGAGGAACAGACTCAGGCTCAACCCTTCCAAGACCGAGTGGCTGTGGCTGCCGGCGCCTCGGCATAGTCAGCTGACTCCGTCGCTGACTATAGGGGGCGAAATTTTGGCTCCCTCGGAGAGGGTACGCAATCTGGGGGTCCTCCTGGACTCACGGCTGACACTGGAAGACCAGTTGGCGGCTGTGACCAGAGGGGCGTTTTATCAGGTACGCCTGATCTACCAGTTGCGGCCTTTTCTGGACCGGGACGCCTTGCGCACAGTCACCCATGCCCTTGTCACCTCCCGCCTGGACTACTGCAATGCTCTCTACATGGGGCTCCCCTTGAGGAGCACTCGGAGGCTCCAGTTAGTCCAGAATGCGGCCGCGCAGGCGGTGTTGGGAGGGACTCGTCGCTCCCATATAACACCGTTACTGAGCGAGCTGCACTGGCTGCCGGTGGCTTTCCGGGTGCGCTTCAAGGTGTTGATCATCACCTTCAAAGCGCTCCATGGCATCGGACCTGGATATCTCCGAGACCGCCTTCTGCCTCAGATTACCTCCCATCGGCCGGTACGCTCCCACAGAGTGGGTCTCCTCAGGGTGCCGTCAGCCAGACAATGCCGGCTGGCGACCCCCAGGGGGAGGGCCTTCTCTGTGGGAGCTCCCACCCTCTGGAACGAACTACCCCCAGAGATCCGGGTGATCCCGGATCTCCCTTCCTTCCGCCGCGCCCTTAAGACATGGCTATTTCAACTAGCAGGACTGGCCTAAGGGGTAATTTTTAGCGGGGTTTTAAATAAAATTTTAAAATAACAATGGCCAATCTAATATTTCCTTTTAATTATGTTTTAATGATAGTATTTTGGTATTTTTTGTATTTGTTTTTATCAGGCTGTTAGCCGCCCTGAGTCCGCAAGGAGAAGGGCGGGGTAAAAATCCAATAAATAAACACTAGACAACCTGTGCCCTGCAGAGTCATTATTTCAGAGATAGTTCCTCACCTAAACAGAGAAACAGAATGACCACTGCTGGGCAAAAAAGCAGTGTGAGTGGGAGCAATTTCCAATTTCCTACTAACTTCCTCATTAAGTTTCCTTATGGACAGCTGGCAAGGAATATTGGAAATCTTAATCTTCCTTTCTCCCTCCCTCCCTCCCTCAAATTTCTGCTAGCTTCCCCACTTACTTTCAATGCAAGAAGAAAGTCATTGGGGAAGTCAGCAGGAAGTTGTAATCCCAAGGCCAGCAGCCAGGTAAGTGGCTACTGTTGGTTGGGAAGGAAGTGAGGGGGTGTGGGGAACCATGGATCAAAAATGATACATGGGGGTCTTCAAGAGGTGCCATGTGATTGGGAAAAGGATATATGGGTGTGCACCAGAGATGCTGAGTGGCTTAAGAAGAGCATGGGATGTGGTTTAGGTCACAAATGGTAGCCCGGGGATGCATGAGACACCCCCAGATAGGGTTGGCAGAAGCAAGCTCAGATAGGGTTGGCAGAAGCAAGATAGGAAAAGAAGAATGCATGGGAGTTACATGGGTGTATGGGAGAGGTGCCATGCCAGGTGGGGATAGCATGCCAGGAGTGGTGCGGGTTGAGAAGGAGTGCTTGGAAATGTGCAAGAGGTGCTGTGCAGGTCAGGGACAGCACATGAGGTAATAGCACAGTTTGGGAAGGGTGTATAGAGGTTATTAAAGAGGTGCTCATGAGTAGAGAAGATGCATGGTGGGCAGTGTGGGTTGAAAAGAATTCATGGGAACAAACAAGAGGTTTCAGGTGTGGGTCACAGAAGGTGTATGGGGGGCAGTGTGGATCAGGAAAAATACATAGGGATGTGCAAGATATGCTGCATGATCAAGCAGGAGGGCTGTGGAGGATGAGGAGAGTGCTTGGGGTGGCACAGAGTGGAGAACTAGTGAGGGGGTAGCATGGTTGTTTCCTCTTTGTTCCACTTTCCTTCCCCTTCCCTTCCCTATCTTATCCAGCAAGCAGGTAAGTAACTGCTGCTGGGAGGAAAGGGAGCAAAAGAATGCGAGACTGGTTGGGAAATGTCAAAGAACATTGAAAATAAAATTCCAAAGGAGCCACAGCTTTCCCAAAATTCATTCCCTTGGGAGTCATGAGTCCTGGATTTTGGATACATTCTATAAGCTAGCCCTCTTGAAGAACCAAGATTCATACATGGTTGCCATATGATCGACCATTTCATCCAATTAAAGGTCATGATGACAGTTTTAGTAGTATATAAATAAGGCAGGGTTTTCAAGCAGTCTCTGAAACTCATTGCCACAGGATTTTGAAATGGTCACCACTCAAGAGCTGCATGGTTGATTAACTGCCCAGATAAAATCTACTTGTTAGTATTTGCTGGCTATGACAAAAAGCTAAATAGAGCCTGAAAATTGCCACCCTACTATGAATGTACTTGGTTAGTCATCAGAAGAAAGGATAAAATTTGAAATGAGCCACTGGTCTGATTATTGCAGGAACCCCAAAAACTCAGCAGATACATTTTTTATTTGTTTCTGGGTTTGTGTGGCATGCTTTTTATTATGCAAATAAAATTCTCAGTTGTGTTTGAATGGTTTTTTAAGAATGGAACAGAATGAGCTGCTTAGAAGAAGGAGAGAGTCAGAAAGATAATTTCCTCAGCAAGTCATCATTGCTAATGAAGTTTTACAAAAACAGATACAACCAAGGAAAAATAAAATTTCACAGGTGATAAATTTTTCCAATTTCCGAGGCAGAATTCGATAGGATTGTTAAATTAAGAGTGAAGGTGTCTGTTAGGAAGCAACGAACAATGATGGGTAATTTTATAGAGTGGAAAATTGAATCAAATTGCAACATTAAAACACAGCTCCTTGGAGGATCTGCCCCAAATGCAGGCCTACTTCAGTATATCAGTTGGAGACTTGGGGGAAGGGATATACTGTATGAATGGAAGGATTGTGCAGTTGTAAACAGCATGGAGATATGGCTTCACAATGTCTTTAAAATCTCCAGGTTGAAGAGAGGGGTGGGTAGGATAGGAAAAAAAGTGGGGTGAGGAGAGGCATGAGACATCTTCAATCAGATTCATGGGAGGGATCTAATTTGCCACAACTACCAGAGCTTTTTTAAACTTAAATCTGAGCTGGCATGTATGAGAGAATAATGATATTAGTGCTTCTGAGCATCTTTAGAGTATTTTATTTTTAAAGTTATGCTCTTGTCCCAGTAAATGAAGTAATTTGATTGTGTAAAGACTGATGTGAAATGTTACTATCCACAGCTTTATCCTCCATATCCGTATAGCTGATGTGAAAGTCCATGCATGTACTTGACAATCAGATGGTTGGGTGCTATTCTTTAAGAGATGTCAGGATTGTAAGTACTTATTAATTCTAGGGTACAGTTGTTAGGAAGATAGGTTTATAGGCACTGAATTATTAAATATTTGTTTGATCTGTCAGTTAGATTGCTGACCTCGGAAAGTATAGATACTTTAAAAAAGCAAAAAAACCAGAAGTGTCTATGTTTTTATTTATCAAATCTCACTGAGATCATTCCTGAATTCAAAATAGCTAGTACTTCCATAGAATGGACACAAAAATTCAAACTGAGGACCCTAACTAAATAACTAAATAAATAATGTAGATTAGTCATTTTTCTCTTATAATAATGAATGAAGAATAAGGTAAGAATAGAAAATCATGTTCACAATAATTATTCTATTTCCAAAGGTGGTTTGTGACTTAGAGATTCAAATACAGGATGGAAGTAATCAATTTCTTTTCCAGAATCTTTCTTCTGAAGTTTGCATCAGATGGTAAAGTAATACCTTGGAAAAAAAATGTTTATTCTATGTTGCAACCATTAAAAAAAAACGCTAGCAAAGATACTGTAAAGTGTGTGGTCCTTGAGGAAAGACCTTCTTTTGACAGAGCGTGATATTTAAATATTAATATTTATGCAGAATTGGAAAATCCCTAACTTTGTCCATGAGGTGTAGAATACCCAAAGGACAAAAGTGCATTATCCTTCTCTATTAATTATCTTTTGCACTGGAATCAGAGAAAAAATTCTCTCTAAAAGATTTTGTAAAATTCATTCTATTTTGTCTTCTTCAGATGGTGATAGCACTTAGAATCTATCTTTCCTTTTCTTCTACTTAGGGCTTCGGGGAGAGGGAGAAAACCCCCTGAGAGGACATTGAAAAAAAGCTAGATGAAGAATCTATGACTTCTACATGAATCAGTATACAGAAAAGCATGGTTCTTCTCCATCTCCCTATTCTGGTATTCAGTTCAGAGATGCAGTACTCTTGTGACCTTTGTTGCAGCGACCCTGCATCATGTCTGAAGGATTGGGACTGACAGAAAGGAATGCTGCCAAGGCCTGAAAGCTAGTCCTTGGGTCTCAGAAATGAGCTTGCCAGATTCTTTATCCTTATCAAATTGCTATTCTTGCCCAGAATATTTGTCTGAGAGACCATGGATTTTTATAATGTGTGGCTTAGGTTTTTCATATGTGCAGTGATTTGTATACCAGATACTTTAGACTTTGCAGAGTTAGCTACAAGCAGTCTGGATCCACTATAGCCCTAGCAAATTGTTTTTTCCCCTCGTGTGGTTGCTCTCTTTCTTATTTTCTCTTATTTCAATAAATATCTTTACAAAGAAGAAGTTATAATTCCCAAGGAGCTTCAAAATAGACTTTCCACTCTGATCCTGGAATCCTCATTTGGAAGATGTCTAGACCCTTTTGTGTGGCTGTGTTACATGCACAAGAAAAGATATGAGCATGTCTGGAAATGTAAGTTCTTTCTATATACAGAATGAAACTGATATGCAGATTATCCTGCATCAAGATACCAAGAAATCCTAATCAGACTGGTGGAACAAATTTGCCATTCTCCATGTGCACTGGGCAGAATGATGATTTAGTGTGGATTACTAATCCTATTGTCTTAGTTTTGCCCCCTCATATTAACAGAAAAGAGAACGAATATTCCTATGAATTTTGGTTGTGCTGATTAGCATGAATGAACCTATCATTATGATTTCATCTTATAGCCTAATGAGTAATTAGGAAATTTAAGAAATAGTTTTAATGACAGGGAATATTTTCCTTAATAACTTAGAAAACTCTCTCTCTTGCATTTAAAATGTATTAGCAGGGATAGAAGAATGATTTATAACAGATTATGAGACATAAGAGTCAAAAAGCTCTGTTTGCAGGCCCAAATAGTTTCTCTCTTTGTTTAATTCATGTATGATCAATAATTTTGTTGTCTAATTTAGCAATCTGTTATTTCAAATAAGTTCTGCTCACACAATGTAAAAACAAAGATAATAATTTTCTTTTAAGAAAATTAACTTCTGTATTATTCGTCATATTTTTTATTGCCTTGGCTTCAGCACTGCCCTTGTTTATAGAGACATTACTCATTTATACAGATATATCTATGCCTCTATGTGTTGTTTACCCCAAGAGTTCCATTTATTTTTTTACTCCATCAGATATTGATACAAATAAACTTCACAGAATTCAGTATCCCATGAATCTCAGCTTTCAAAATCCCTAATCTGAAACCTTTTTTACAATCAATTTTCAAGTGATACTCAATTTGGGTGAGGACAAAGTACACCTTTCCTCTTTGGAACAACACAAACAGTCTTTCCAGAGGCCTTCCAAAGAACAGCTAAGCCTTAGTATTAATATTTTGGCACTGGGGCAATATGAACCCCATTCTGACAATCACATGAGATCAACACTGGGAATTTAAGAACATGAGTTATCCTTGTAACAATACTTTTTTTTTAATCCTTGAGCAGGGAAATGTTCTTTTAGCCCAAAAAGTGCAGCTTCAGAATCAGTAACATATGGCTTTCTCATGCTTCATGGGGTAGTTTCTCCTCCCATTGGCATAGATTCTTACCAACCATTTGGGCTCCAATGTTAGCAATACATTGACATAATTAGGAGAAAATACCAAATGGATAAGTACTGGTATAGCAAATGTCTGTGGAGATTCTCAGTCCACAGACTGAGAAAGTCCACATTCTGGATAGAGAGGACCATTGGTTTGAAGGAGAGGTAAAAGAGGTCATTTACGTTAACACTGAGCAGCCCTCTCTCAAAAGAGGGGAAAGGGTAAGACATCACCTATCTCCTGTCTACAACGCAGTCCTTTCAGCAGTTTCAAGAAAATTCAACCCCCATTTGCACTCTGATACGTGTGACCCTGAGGGGACAGATAAGTGGCTTCAAGAGCTCTCAGAGAGAGTGCTAACGATCAGATGACCGCAAAGAAATATGATCATTCTAACCCCCTTCCCCTCATTCTGTCAGAATTAATCCTTCCATTGCCAGCACCATCCTGCCAGAACTGATGAAGCTACTTGGATAAGAAGCAAAACATTTTCTCAAGGAAAAAAAAGTACTATTGCCTTTTGAAAAAGCATCTTTGAGACATACTGGTATGGCAATAATACATGTTGGGCTTTGAAAGACAATAGAGATTTGCTGCCATGATGGAAAAGCATTGGAGGTTTTTCAGTGCAATTATTTATATTTATAAATCCTTACATTTCTGAACTGAAAAGTGTTTCCTCAAATTACCTATGATATGTTTTTGCAAAGCAATGGATAAACATACATAGATATCTGTGCAGTAATACATGAACTGCAGGAGAGGGAACATTTTAACAATTTACTTTTTGTTTTAATAAACAGAGGGACAGGATGCTAGTTTGGGAATGATTCGAGTGGAACTTGAGATTGGGATGAGATACTCAGTTATTAGCTGAAATTCTCTGTGCTCAACTATTTGCCAATAAGTCAAGCACCAACTGGCTGCTCTTTACTCTAGACTTGCCAACATATGGCAAGCAGGCTTTTCTACAAATTCGTGTTCCTAGCTCTTGATATTGCAAATAGTCAGAACAATTTTAATCAATTTCAGATGTATTTTACAAATGGGAGACTGAAAGCTTGTTTCATAGAATCCTCTTGATTATACTTCTGATTTCATGCTGAAAGTAACATAAAACTGAAAGGATCAATAATGCACCAAAACTAAACATGGTGATAAGTGCTTATTTTCAGCATATAGCTTAGGTGTATTATTGGCCCAGAATTTGTAGAAAACCCTGCCATATGTAAAAAGAAGACCAGAGAAAGTAATCCAGTGATATATGTCATTCTGTCTTTTCAAATAATCTAATTGTTTTTTCAGCCAATTGAGGTAATTCGTACATATTTCTAATCTGACTTTTTTTTTACTGACTTTCAGTTGCAAATTGTATAAGCATGATGTTTTGTATAAATTATTTCGAGTAAATTATTTCATTGACAAAAAAGTCCTTTAAAATATAAGTAAACTTAAGTAAACTATCTGAGTAGTCTTCTCCAAAGTACTGCCCTACAAATGGGTTAAAACTAAAACTTCCAGTATTCCTAACTTGAATGACTCACCTGGAAGAACTTCATAAATGCACTCTTTCTCCTGCACCATGGGCTCCTCTTTGTCCAGGTCCAAAGTGAAATCCTGACTAAATGTTACACTTGGGGTATCAAAACTCTCTATGTCATCATAAGCCTCTTCTTTATCAGTATTACTGTGGTCCTTTTCCTTCTCTTCTTCTTCCTCTTCTTCCTCCTCCTCCCCCTCTTCTTCCTCACAGGGGATAATGAAGGAGTTCATATCTGAAAGATAAAAAAGAAGAAAATAATAATAAGCTATGGAGAGAGAGAGAGAGAGAGAGAGAGGGAGCCATTTGCCTGGCAGATACAACAAGATTACTGCTTGCTTGCTAAAAATAAAGGTAGCAATGCCCCTCTGGAATGCCAACATCTTTTTGTGTTGCCTTTTCCATTTACGTTTCATCACGTGGCCAAATCCATGCACAATCATAAAGAAAAACAAAGGGATACAACTTTCATCCCCCCCATAACAATCAGAACAAATGTTCTGAAAGGAAGTAACTTAATTCTAACAGCCTAGTAGACCACATTCTGCTGAGATCCTTATTTCTATTATTACAAATTCATGAAGACACATAAAACTTTAAAAACTTAATAAAATAACCTCTGCTATGCATACAGTGCAAATGCCACAGAAACAGTGGTGTGCTGCAGATGCCTTATTCTGGTTCATGAAATTGTTACATTTTCTGAATTTTGCAACTCAATTGAAAGCAGAGCTCAGCCATGATGCCCAGTGCACTGATTAGCTGTTTGGCAGTTTGTGATATAGCATGGTGGCAGCAGTGGAGCCAGAAGAGTTGCTTGTTATAAATTTATTAACATAGCATGAAATTTTAACATGCCATCTCCTATTGTATTTATACATCTGTGGGTCAAAACTAGAACTAGCTATGGAATTCAGTGCAAGGGATTCCCATAACAGATAGGAGGATCTTAAATATTAATGCAGATACATCTTAAATCTGTAATTCTCGCAAGCAGGGTATTATTCTCACTGTTAAGCAGGATATTATTCAAAGTATCTATAAACTTAACTAACAACCTATACATGAAATTTGGTCCCACCATCAATGAATTTTTAGAGTGAAAAATGTAGCTTAGTAACAAAAACAACAAAGCAATAATAAATTTTATTTTCTATCGTAGTACCTTAAATAGCATTCACAATATGGGCTTTGCATTTTGACCAGCAGAGGACGCTTTGAGAGCATGCATCGTTTATAACTCAAAAAATGTCTTCACAAAAGTGGAAATGTGATTTTAGGTTTTGATTAATCCATCCTGCACATTAAGTTTCATTATTTTCAGGTTGGTTTATATACCTAAAAGGTATCCAGAAAATTGGGAAGAATAAACCCTGTAGACAGTACAAAATAAAATAAAACAAAAACAAGACATGGCATATTTTGGATTTCGGGTAGATTTGTCTCAATTCAGATGACAAGATCATAGATCTGAGATTTTTAATCAGTCTAAAAAACCAACTAAATACATTTCTATGAATATTGGATTAAGGCTCATATACATTTCCTTTAAACAAGAAAAATGTGGGAGAAATATCTTTTATCATTATTCCCCACCTTGAGCATTAAAACTATGATCAAAATTTGCTAAGAAAATGCTAGCTTGTATGTCATGATCTGGATATGAGGGTGTACTTTTAGAAGCTTATTACTTTTCTACCATAGCTATCCTTGCCTGTACCTTTTCTTCTTAGTGATGCATTCTTCAAATCTCTCTATTTCTTTAGCAAAACCTTAATAGCCCCAAACTCATTTTGTTTGGTGCTTTCACATATCACCTGGTTTTCTTTCATTTTAAGTATGTTTATTGAGCAGGTACTATCATATCTAGGCCACTTAACAACCTGCTGCAAGTTCAATAATTACCAAATATTGCCATTTAATTGGTGAAGTAAGGGAAGGTTCAAATTATCTTCATGTGTACTGCAAGAATAAAGAGGCCAGAAGACTAGATGTGCATCGATGTATTCTTCCATGTAATGAGAAACCCTGATTGAGCCATACTAAGAAGAGCTCCAGAGTAACCTGTATAACTTATAATAGTGTGTGTATGTTGGGAGGAACATAGTGTGTGTATGTGGGGATAAAATACTGGATTTTATCCAAGAACACCTGATTGAAATCTGTTCATCATTAAACTTCTTATATAACTTTGGGCTAATCAGGATTTCTCTTCCTAGGTGATTTATTTTTGTAAGGATAAATGGGATTACCTTTGATGTTAGTCTTTAATTGACAAAACACTTAAAATTAATAAGAAAATACTTAGAACAAAGTTATCCAATTTGGAGTTTTTGATTAAACTTTGCCTTAAATTTTCTGTGACTTTCAGACGTCACTGTGTTTTATGATTTTGTCTAAATGAGTACATCTATTGAAAAGCTAAGCTAAGCTAAGATTCTTAGAAGTGTATGCAGATGTTTTTGTACAATGATAGAAAATCTATTTTAAATGCAGACACATATCCAAAGTTCTTAGGAATTTAAGAAGAGTTCACTGGCGACACAATTCTACTCAAACAAGGAGGATTATTTCTAGCATGATCATCTAATGCAGATTAGAGCTGTAAATTGAAAGGGAGATATCAGATGCTCAACCTAGTTTTAGAAAAGGCTAAGGAACAAGAACCATTATTGCTAATTGCTCAATAATTGAGAAAGCCAAAGAATACAAAAAGCTAATATGTACTTCACTGATTACAGAAAGGCCTTCAGTCATGTTGACCATGTGGAATATATTTTAATAATATCATTGTTCTCATGTCAAATTTATACATAGTCAGGAAGCCATAGTCCTGACAAAATATGGCAAAAAGACTGGCTTTAGCTCAAAAAAATAAGTGAATGAAGGCTATATATTCTACATTCATTCAATGTGTATGCTAAATGTATATTGAAAGATGCTGAATCGGAAGAAGATGAACATGATTTTGAATTCGGAGGAGGAAACATCAATAAGCTGCTCTGTGTTGATGAGACTACCCTAATGGCTGAAAACGGAAATTATTTGAAAGCTCTAATAATAAAAGGAGTACAGTGAAAAATGGGCTAAGATTAAATATTAAAAGACCATATTAATAACCATACTAATAACAATTACATAAATAAAATAAATAAATACAAAATAAAAATATAAACAAACAAATAGTGAGTAGCTTCTGCCTTTTAGGGTTAAGCTATCGACAGTAAACGAAGTAGCAGTCAAGAAATAAACCCCAGACTAGCACTTGATAGGGTAATTATAAAGACCTTAGAATGGGTGCCTATTGGATGATCTGAATAGGCCAGGGTAGGGACAGATCATCCTGGAGAAGATCTGTCTGTGTGATTTCTAAGAATAAAGCTATGAGGTAGAAATGTACAAAGTCTGGATGACTGGTGGATCTTCTGTTGCAATAGATCAAATTCTTCCTAGAGAAATTAGGGAACGAAAGGACAGGAGCATAGCTCTCTTAGCCACCATGTGGTAACTAGGATGCAACTGAGATAATGTGGAAATTGATTTAAAAAAGAATATTAATAAGGAGACGGAATTGGGAAAAGCTCAAACTACTTATATCCATGCATTAAAAAACACATCAATCAGATATCCTTTCGATTGACCAACTCTTTTGAAGAAGGTAACAATAGATATATTCAAAGGACCTATAAGATTCTTCAACAGTAAAGGAAGTTGTTTTCAATATCTGGAAGCAAAATCCATGTGATATATATTGAAAATATAGATAACAATATTCTGTTTGCCTTGGATCTAAAACGTTTGTTTGCCTTGGATTTATTGGAAGCATTTATATGGACAATACCAAAATCATGGACACCATAGTGTCCTGCAAGGTTTGTGCCATCGTTATATTCCTGCTTATGGAGAACTCAAATTATACCTGCATCAAGTGTAAACTGATTGGATTGCTGGAAGAGAAGGTGGAGAATCTAGAGGCAAACCTTATTGCCTTTTTTGATAAAGTGATTAAAGCAGTGGAAGTGCTGTGGATCTAGTACTTTTGAATTTCAGTGAAAGTGGGATATCTCAAGGTTCTGCCTTGGGCTCAGTGCTGTTCCACATTTTCATTAATGATCGAGATAAGACAATAGAAGGGGAACTAATCAAATTTGCAGACTACATCAAGATGGGGAAATTGGCAACACCTTGGAAAATAGACTCAAGATTTAGAATTTTGACATACTTGAGCTTTGGGCTCTATCCAACAAGATGCAGTTCAATGGTGAAATAAGTAAGGTGCTGTCTTTGGGCAGGAAAAAATAAATGCACAGGGTAGAATAGGGAGTACCTAGTTCAACAGTAGTAACTGTGAAAGGGATCTAGGTGTCCTAAAGGACCATCATTTAAGTATAAGCCAGCAGTTTGTTGCAGCTGCAAAAAAAGTCAATGCAGTCTATATCAATAGAGTGATAGCATCAAGATAACAGAAGTTATAGCACTGCACTATACTGCACTACTGAGGCCACAACTGGCATACAGTGTCCAGATCAAGTCACCACAATAAAACAAAGATGCTGAGGCCTTAAAAAGTGCAGAGAAAAGCAACAAAGTTGACAAAGGTCTGGAGGCTAAACCATATTATGAACAGTTAAGGGAACTAAGGTATGTCTAGTCTAACAAAGAGAGATTAGAGGTGACATGATAGCTATCTTCAAATACATGAGGGGATGATACAGAGAAGAGGGAATTGACTTATTCTCCAAAGCACCTGAGGGCAGAACAAAAAACAATGGGTGAAAGCTCATTAAAGAGAGATTCAACCTGGAACTAAGGAGAAATTTCCTGATAGGTGTGAAACATTAACCAATGGAATAGCTTGCTTCCCAGAATTGTGGGTGCTCCATTGCTGAAGGTTTTCAAGAAAAGATTGGACAGCTATTTGTCCAGGATGGTATAGGCCTCCTGCCTTGGACAAGAGGTTGGACTAAAAGACCTCCAAGGTCTTTTCTAGTCCTATGATTCTATGATTCTAAGGTATACAGTACCTGATACGTTAACTGAAGTCTGTGGAACCTAGGAACTGCTTTCAAGAGGTCAACCTCCAACGTCCCTTCCAACTTTATTATTATTATTATTATTATTATTATTATTATTATTATTATTATTATTATTATTATTATTATTATTATTATTATTATTAATCATCATCATCATCATCATCATCATCATCATCATCATCACACAGTCAGCCAGATGTTCAGACTGGATTTGGCATTTTTGTCTGCCTATCGAGACTTTACCAAGGACCTGGGATAGGCAGATGTGGATGTTTGATGGTATTACAGATATCGTCGCAGGATGGAAGCAGTTCCTAGTAAGGCTGCCTTTTGCAATTGACTAATGGCAAATTTGTCAATGCCAATGGTGTTCAAGTGGTGCTCCAGTTGTTTTGGGATTGCACCCAAGGCGCCTATTACTATTGGTACTACCCTTGCTTGCCTTTGCCACAGTCTTTCTATTTCTATTTGTACGTCTTTGTATTTTGTTATCTTCTCCAGTTCTTTCTCATCTATTCTACTGTCTCCAGGCACTGCAATGTTCACTATCCAGACTTTTTTGTCTTTCTTATCGACAATTGTTAAGTCCAGAGTGTTATGTTGCAGGTGTTTGTCTGTTTGAATTCTGAAGTCCCAGAGCAGTTTAATTTTATCATTTTCTATGACTTTCTCTATTTCATGATCCCACCAGTTCTTGCTTACAGGCAAATGATATTTCTTGCAGATCTTCCAATGCATCATTGTTGCTACTTTGTTATGCCACTGCTTGTAGTCAGTCTGTGCGATCTTCTTGCAGCAGCTTACCAGGTTGTCCACTGTTTCTTCAGCTTCTTTGCATAGGTGGCACTTACTGTCTGTTGCTGTCTTCTCAATTTTGACTTTGTATGCATTTGTCCTTAAGGCTTGGTCTTGTGCAGCCAGAATTAGTCCCTCAGTCTCTTTCTTCAATTTTCCTGCTCTTAGCCATTGCCAGGTCTTGTTATTATCTGCTTTCCCAGCTATTTTTTTAATGTGCTGGCCATGTTGTGCTTTGTCTTCCCATGCCTCTATTCTGTTCTTCATTTGGTGTTTCTTGTAGGCCAGTTTGGTCTCTCCAGGAGTCAGTAAGCCTTCCTGATATACTAATTTCAGTGCATCTTCATCATTGTCCTTCAGATATTTCTTCTTCAACCATCTGATGTACTTGCAGCATTCCATGCCCACCTATTTGCCTTGACAGATAGAGTCTGTCAATGTCACTGCATGGATGAAGGGCATGATTCATTGTCATTATTTTTCTGGTCTTCCTATCCATTGCTTTTAGTTCTGCTTGAGTCCAGTCCACTATTCCAGCTGTGTATCTAATGACTGGAATTGCCCAGGTGTTGATTGCCTTCATGGTATTTCCTCCATTGAGTTTGAACTTTAAGATCTTCTTCACTCTCTTGATGTATTACCTTTTTCTTGACTTCAGTGTCCTTGATGTTGTCAGCTTGAAGGATACCCAAATATTTGTAGTAATCTTCCTCATCCAGACTCAATGTTATTTTCGTGGGGCTTCTTGATTCCTTCAGTTTTCACTATTTTCCTTGTTTGATAGTTAGTGTGGTACATTTGTCCAAGCCAAACTCCATTGCAATATCTTGGCTATATATGCAGACAGTGTTGAGCAGCAATTCTATTTCAGATGATGTTTTTCCATACAGCTTCAGATCATCCATGTAAAGGAGGTGGGATAGTCTGGCAGATGTTTTTGATGTTTGATAGCCATGTCCTGAGTTATTTAGTATTTTCATTATTATTATTATTATTATTATTATTATTATTATTATTATTATTATTATTATTATTATTATTATTATTATTATTATTATAATAATAATAATAGAAAAAGAAAATCCTGTTGATGTGATCAGTATCCATATATGCAGCATTTCTGAAGGAAGAATAAGGGCATGAATTCTGGAATAGGATGAAAAAGATAGGTACGAAGAATTATAATACTAGCAACACTTATGTGGAAAATCTTGATAATAACGATCAGATAAATAAATAGATCTTGAAATCCTGTGGGATGCCAAAGATAAATGCAAATAGTCTTGTGATCATTGGGTGTAAGAGTGGTAAGCATAACTTGAGTAGAGAAGAATTTTTTAATATCTCCTTCAAAAATCTCTGAGTGAGTTGGGTGATTAACAAATATGAAATATAAACAAACAAACAAATAAATAAAATAAAGCAGAATATTGCAAAGTTGTTACCCGTCTGGACTTTACCAATATCATCCCGGGACTGGTATAAAAGTGAATATCTTCAGAGAAGGCAGAGATACAGGAGAGTGATTGTCAAAGGTCCAGAAGAACAGGATAGATATGTTCATACATGTGACACTGAGCATAAATGTCTGTTTTTTCCTCTCAGGTTCACTTGAACATTTAGGAAAATATTTCTTCTCCTTCCACTTTGTGAAAACTGAAGAGAATGACCACAAATTGATGGATTAATTAAGGCTACTGATGTCCATAGTTGATTGAGAAATATGTAATTGATTCATTGGTTAATTATTATAATTAAAGTATGGGTTTAATCCTTCCTAAGGGACTCACCTTTCAGCAGAAATGTGATATGATCTACCCAGTCTATAGCTTCTGCAGGATTAGCAGCTGTGAACTGCAAAAGAAAAAAAAATCAGAATGCCAAATGTATATAGATAATTCTCAACTTACAACCATAATTGAGCCCAAAATTTCTGTTGCTAAGCAAGACATTTGTTAGATGAATTTTGCCCTATTTTATAACTTTTCTTGCTACTATTGTTAAGCGAATCACTACAGTTAAATTAGTAACACTGTTGTTAACTGAATCTGGCTTCTCCATTGACTTTGTTTGTTAAAAGGTCACAAAAGGTGATCACATGACTCAAGAGCACTGCAACTTAGTGGTGGGATTCAGCCAGTTCGCACCAGTTCGGTAGAACTGGTGGCTAATTTTTTGTTGCCAAGGCCCAGAATGGACTTCCAGAAGCGGCATCCACACAGAGAACCAATTGTTCACATATTTGAATCCCACCACTGCTGTAAGTGTCATAAATACGAGACAGTTGTCAAGCATCTGAAGTTTGGTAACGTGACTATGGAGATTCTACAACGGTTATAATTATGAAAAACAGTAATAAGTCACTTTTTTCAGTGCCATCATAACTTCCAACAATCACTATATGAATGGTTGTAAATCAAGAACTACCTGCATTGATTTACATGCTGGATACTTAAATATGGCACCACCATCAGTGCAGATCACATGCCATTGGTACTATGTTCTACATGTAGTCTTCAACTTGTGACCACAATTAAGCCCAAAATTTCTGTTGCTAAGCAAGACATTTGTTAAATAAATTTTGCCCATTTTATGACTTTTCTTGCCACAGTTGTTAAGTGAATCACTGCAGTTGTTAAGTTAGTAATATGGCTGTTGAATGAATCTGGCTTCCCCATTGACTTTATTTGTCAGAAGGTCACAAAAGGGATCACATGACCCAAGGACACTGCAACCATCATAAATATGAGTAAATTCTAAGTGTCTGAATTTTGATCATGTGACCATGGGGGTGGCTGCAGTGGTCGTAAGTGTGAAAAACGGTAATTAGTCACATATTTCAGTGCCATTGTAACTTCAAACGGCTACTAAATGAACTTTTATAAGTCGAGGACTACCTCCATTCATTCATTCATTCATTCATTCGTTCATTCATTCATTCATTCATATGTACGTCATTATTAAGAATGAATTCAGAGCCACATGCAACAATGATATCCTATTACTTCCTTGGATCATTTGAAATGCAGTAGAGTTTTTTAAGATAGTTTATCCATTCAGTTGCTGAATCAGTGAACAATAAGAAAGGTAATGATTTAGATATGAATAGGTAAATAAGCCTTATACAGTAATATTTTTGTCTGGACAAATATCAGAATGTCCTTCATTTCCACAACTATTCATCTCTTCTCATTCTGTGTAAAATAGTCCCCCCCCCTTTTTTAAAAATGTTATTTTTACATTTGTTCACTTATTTTAAAAATCTAAATAGACTCATTGAGGAATGAGGAAGTGAACTTTTCTGTATGTCTGAGTTTACTTTGGAATCCCAGAAAGCACATATCATCTCATGCAATTCACATTACTCACGTAGACCATGTGAGTATTTTTAAATAATCATAAAAGGGCACACCACTTTTCTCAGAAGAGGCTGTCCATATATATATTGAAAGGAAACCAAACAATGGTCAATGTGTGATGACTGGAGATACATCAGATTAAAATGCAAACTCTGCCACAGGAATACACTGGTGTTGGAATAGATTTGGGGACCAAAAATAACACGCATGGAGAAAGTTATGCATTAATAGATTTATGTTAACAATGTAGATGAAGATTCAGATATTGACTCACAATGCCACATCTCTTTGGGTGATATTCTAGGTCAGGGTGTATTTTGAAAGGGGAATTATTTCACTCTACTAATAAGGCAGAGGATATTTTGCTTCGCTATCACCTTGCTCAATATAAGGAAGGATGCAGAGATAAACACTGAATGAAGAGTCAGAAGAATAGCTAGCTATCAGGCTAATCAGGGGAAAAAAGTATGGGAATGAGAAGCAGCAATCTATTAGATCCAAAGAACAGGGTCTGGTTCACTTAAGATATTTTGAACAGCCTTGAATCTCAATTAATTTTACTGGGTGGGATTTTCACATGTTGATTGGGTTGTGTCAACTTCAAACTCAGCATAAATTAATTCATATTAGCTCTGGAGCAACAATGTCTAGGCCCTTCCACTGGATAAGTTAAGTCAAGTAGAATGAGAAAAACAATTGTGCAGGGGGATTACAGTGGCTTTTAATTCAGTTTTTAATTCTACATATTTTGATGTAAATGTTGAATATGCATTAGTTAGTAGAAAGAAAGAGGAATATCTCATTCCCTTAGCAAAAAATTATAAAATCTGAATGTTGTGCACAGGAGAATATAGGATTCATGCTAAAAGCAAAATTTCCCAGAACAATTTCAATGGCTATCAGACAGCCCCAAGCCTGAGGAATGCAAAGCAAGGCATTTATTAAATCATGGGAACCGCAGAAAATAGAACCACTGGATTTAAATGGATATAAGAAGTAACACTGGCAGAGGGCAATCAATACTTCAAAATAGCTTCATTTAAGTAGTTGTAGTAGTAGTAGCAGCAGCAGCAGTAGTAGTAATAGTAGTAGTAGTTGATTATTCTTGATTATTCCTATAACCATGTGAAATAAAACAATTCCAGGAAAAAAATAGATTAAAAAATACAGCAGTGAAATATATATGTAGTAAACATAAAGAATCATAATACAAGTTTTTGTCTTGCCATGCCAAGCTGACTTTCTAGCTAAATTCTGGGGCAAGCATTTCAGAGCAGTTCAAAAACATTTTAAGCTTTATATAGTAAAATATTCTTTAAGTCAGGATATTAGAATTTTACAACTAATTAAGATAAATGGATGGATAAATAAACAGATAGACAGTACTGTTTATAAAATTCTACTTGGGTAGACCTCTACAAACATGATTAATGACAAAGGAAGCCCAAACATTTCACTGAGTATCTTCCAAGATACAGAATGTAGAATGTCATCCTTCCCCTTATTAAACACTTATTATGACTAAATTTCTTGATGAAAACTCTTCCTACAGTTCATGTTGGCAGAAAGAATTTTCCATGTCTGTTAATTATTACCTCATAGGTTCGTTTACCAGGAGAAGTCAACTCAAAGCAGCAATCTCTTCGGGAATCCTTGCGCAGATAGGGAACTAGCTGAGCGTGGTAGTTCTCAATAGCAAATATGCCTTTTGGTTGTTTGCCTATATAATAGCAATAGCAGTGATGAGTCATTATTGGTATTCATAAATTTTTAATTGCTATCTTGTTTTGTAATTACTTCTCCTATTTAAGGTCTTCAAGATTCCTTATATTTAGTTTTTACTTATTTATTTATTATTAAATGTTATGCCAGCCATATCATTATCAAAAGTGACTTTGGGCATCTTATAGAATGATGACTAAAGTATGGACAGCAGAGAAAAATTTAATCATTCTTTTATTCATGCCATACAGGCAGTCCTCAGCTTATGACCACAATTGAGCCCAAAACTTCTGTTGCTAAGTGAGACATTTGTTAAGCGAGTTTTGTCCCATTTTACAACTTTTCTTGCCATAGCTGTTAAGTGAATCACTGCAGTTGTTAAATTAGTAATCCAGTTGTTAAATGAATCTGGCTTCCCCATTGACTTTGCTTGTCAGAAGGTTGCAAAAGGGGATCACATGACCTTGGGATACAGCAATGGTCATAAATATGAACCAGTTGCCAAGCATCTGAATTTTGATCATATGATCCTGGGGATGCTACAAAGGTCGTAACTGTGAAAAATAATCATAAACTCACATTTTTCAGTGCCATTGTAACTTTGATTGATCACTGAATGAACTGTTATAAATCAAGGATTACCTGTACTCCTTCAAAATGCATTTTATTTTAAGAAAAAAAAGTTCCCTCTTATGAATCACTTGAGCCCCATTAGAAGGATGTACATTCCCTTTTATATTTTCATTTGCATATGAGCTTGACAATCAGATACATTGGCATTAATGATTTAATTTAAAATGTCATTTTTGATTATGGATGTACAATATTCTGGATATATAAAAGAGCTATGTTTTTATTGGAACTCTGACTTAGGACTAATATTCATATTACAACTGCCATACAGAATAAGCTTTTAATTGATCCATGCCTGATGAACTGCTCTGAGTGCACAGGATTTTTATTTTAGATTTTCTTCATTCTGGCATCAACCCTTCCTCTCAAGTTTGCAACAGCTTGAAAAAAATTGCACAGAAATAACTCTCCACTTCTGAACAGCTGCTAGATGAAGCAATTTAAAGCTGTCTCCATATGGCAGACTTGACATATGTATTTGCTTCAAGCTAATATGCAGGAGGGTAATAAAAAAGGGAGGATCATTCCACAGGATCCATGTTGCAGGATCAAAAGGCAGATTCTGACCAAAAGGCAGTGCTCCCTACCTTCCCAATTAAATCGTTGATTAGGACTGCTAGAAGATGCTGTTTTATTAAAACACATCTATTTTAGTGGGGAAGGAGTTTTTATAGCTACAGACAGAATTATGTTATGATATCACACCAGTGGATAGATGAAATATTCCAACCCCTCCCTCCCCCATTATAGGTGCTATGAACCCTTCCTTTTTTTACTTCCTATCAAAAATTATCAGGAAATCACATCACTAATGTATAGTGATTCACCATTTAATATTAACATTGTGATATCACGGGAACAAAATAAGGGTTGGGGTGTTATGATTGTCTATCAGTGATTCAGGAGAAGTACAGAGGTAGACTAGAAGTTAAGCATGCTTAGACATTCACTAAACATATTCTCATGAAGGAGAGACACTCTTTGTCACATACAGATACCCAAGTTCCACCCAATTTGGTGGAAGGATAAGTAAAATCAGGTAAAAACAGAAACACAGAATTTTTGCTATGAGAAGACTTTATTTTTATGGAAAATGTTTCTGTGTGAAACTGAATTTCTTTTTTCTTTGTACAATGTATGAAATTGAAAGTTGAACTTGGTGTGAATTTGTATTAAATACTTCAGGCCTCAATGCCAAAAATACATTTTTCTCCATAAAATTTTCTTGTAATTGATAATATTAATTTGATATTCTCTTTCAGAGAATTCTCTTTCAGAAGACCATCACTATATTGTTGCTTACCTGGAGCACTGTATTTTTGTTCCAAATTTTTTATATCTGATTTTCTAAGTTACCAGCTCTTTCTCTCATGAGCTGAGTACCACTGTAAATGATCTTTTTTCCAAAAATCTAAAATTTTGATTTAGTTTATTTCTTCTGAAATCAGTTTGTCTCCCCCCCACAAAGGAAGTAATGAATCTTTTAGTTACATTATTCTATGTTACATGAGCAGGACATTGTGCTATAGGCATTATAATGACCAGTAAGGCTGCACAATATGAGTGAGCCCATCTCTCTCACACACACTGGGCTGGATGTGGGCTGGATGTGGTGCCTCTAGGAGAATAATTAGTGGCAGCAGGAACTCCTAAGCTGCTACACCAAAAGAGGGTGTTGGATTCTGAGAGATGAGTTTTGAGACTTCAAAACACCAGCCTAAGAGGTTCAGTCACCTGATACACGTGCATTTTGTTCCTGTGATGTCAATGATGCTAGCTTCTGAGAATTAAGTCTATTCTTGTTCCATCAGCCTCTTCCATACTCTTTTTTCTCGGTCAAACTACAGTGTGTTTGGGAATATGGGACTGATTTTATGGATTTGTACATCTACATTTTCCTAGACCCAGCATCTGCCATTTCATGAATTGTGGTGGAAAAAGGCCTATCACTAGTTCAGAAAGTCCAACACAATCTTCCTTCACTCTGCTATTTCTTCCTTTCTCTCTCTCTATGTGTGTGTGTGTGTGTGTGCATGCGTGTGTATACAAACACACATATACACATACATATGTACATACATGTATATATATATACTGCACATTTAACCTGCATTCAATTTTTCTGCGTAGTAGATACAATATAATTGGAGCCCATCTGTCTAAGGCATGCTAAATTCAATTGGAAGTATTAGCCTGTTTATATGCATCTGATGGAGCATAACCCAAAAATATTTATACATGATGACACACAAAATTATATATGGTCATTTAGGGGAGGATTAAAGCCTATCTGACAACTAATGGGGAAAAAATGGGGTCTACTTTATATACACAGGGTCTTGTGTCTCTATTTCTCCATGTCTCTCATCTTTAACTGACAAGGATGTTAGAATACAACCATCTTCTTCATCTTAAGGCTGCATCTAATGGCATCATTCCACACTGTATGATGGCTAATTCACCACCCATCTAAAAGAGCCAATATGATGTAATGCTTCTGTTGCATTTGGATCAGGAAGATCCATATTCAATTTCCAATTGTTTGCAAACCTTAGTAGATATTTTCCCCCTCAGTTTTACATGTTATATAGGAGAGTTAACAATTTGATTTTTATCTCCCTGGGTTCCTTGCATGTAGAACTACTTTAATGTTTTTAATAAATGCAGAAAATATCAGAGAATAAAAGAGCTACAGTGTTAAAATGAATTTTGGGCAATAGTATTTCTTTTACTGCTGTCTTCTCCAGTTGATCAACTGGAAATTCATGACTAGTTATGAATACAGTCTCATGATTCAGTGAAGGAACAGAAAGCATGGATGTGGTGTTACCTACTTTTTTCATTTGCATAATAGTAGAAAGCTGTATTGTCAAGAACACACCAACGCTTCTGCCATTCAGAGCCAAAGATTTTGGAGTCTATGAAAAAGAAAGGAGGTGGAATGAGTATTCTGTATTTCTAAAAAGACTGCAATATCAGTTATTACTGATATTAATGCATATTACTGTTCCAAGGCATTTTGTTTATACAAGACACTTTTCAGAAGAAATATACACATTTTGTCTGTTTACTGTAGCCTTTTCTGACCTGAAAAATATGTGTTGGACTTGAACTATAACAATTCCCAATTTATTTGACAAATCATGTAGATAAGCCTTTCTGTAGACTTATGGCATTATCTATATGTTTTAAAGTTGAAAACATCTGGAAAACTCTCATTAAGGACCTATTTGTTGAATATTTTAAATAATTTGGCAGGGATTAAATCCTTCTTCCAAAGTACTTTTAGTTACTTTTTCTAATTTCAAGGGCTTGCTGTTTTATTTGGCTCTTATGCCAAATGGGTAAGTGACATTGGAGAAAGCATGGAGCATCCTTTTCTATGTACTATTACAATTCTTTAAAGAGTAAGAAATTCCAAGGATAATAATGATATCTGTTTAATTCCCCCTTTTTTCTTTCTCTCTTTGTCTATCTATCTTTCTATTACAATATGGTTTCTATTATCACCTTATCTTACTAAAGGAATGGTAAATTAATGGACCGATGCATCCAGAATATTTTGATACATTTTCAGTTATTTTCTAGTCTTTGGCTTCCATTAAGGATGTGTCCATAGACTTGGTGTAGGATGACTTGTGAAAATAAGAGAAAAATCTGTTTAATACATCGTATTCACAATAATAATCATACTGAAATGGGCAGAAGCAAATACAACCACTTCTAGCAATTGATTTTGTATTTTGTGTGATGTACTCTCAACATCAAATGTCTGCATGAGAAACTACCAATAATTTTTGCTCAGAGGAATTACAAGATTTAAAGCATGGGCAACATAGGAATACAGAAATGTGAATTCATAAATCAATAGCAGTTGCTTTTAGTGATGATAAGTATCTTACTTATGCCAAGGGATCTTACCCCTTAAAGAGTATCTGGAAACTTCAGCTGGTGCAAAATACAAAAGGGTAAGCAGTTGTAAGTATTATTCACTCTCTGTTGGGTGAACTGCATTGGTTACCAGTTTGTTCTGGGTCCAATTCAAGGTGCTGGTATTAATCTTTAAAGCTCTACCATGGCAAGGAACCAGGTGAAATGAGAAATTTCCTGACAGTTAGAACAATGAATCAGTGGAATGGCTTGCCTCCAGAAGTTGTGGATACTCCAAAAATGGAGAATTTTAAGAAGAGATTGGACAATTAATTCTCTGAAATGATATAAGGTCTCCTGCTTGAGCAGGGAGTCAAACTAGAAGACCTCCAAAGTTCTTTCCAACTCTGTTATTCTGTTATATTTTATAGTCCTCAATGTTTTAACTTATAATAAATTTAGGTAAGAATTGTTTCATATTTATGGTTTTATTGGGTTGTTATATACCATCCAGCATCATTTTCCATGAGATGGACAGCCATATCGATTTGATTAATAAATACATAAATAAATAAATAATTAGCTGGTAAATGCTCACCTTTAGTTCTCTTTTCCAAATAGCCTTGTTTTAAAATGATTTCTTGATCTTCAATAGCCTTCTGTATACTATTCTCATCTAAAAATAATAATAATAATAATAAAAATTGACAGCTATCCCAAGACAGAATACATTTATTTTTGTTGTAACCAGCCCAGAGAGCTATGGCTACTGAGCTGTTTAAAATTTTTACTGAATAAAAATTAAAAAAAAATAAATAAAAAACTGTATGTTAATTATATGCATAACAATGTATGTTATAGCTATTCTTGATTACTACCAAATTTTCAAAGCTTAAATGATGAGGCTGGTAATTACTTTCATAATTTTTTCTGTAACATAACAGTAAGGTATATATTGGTTAACGTGATACACTGTGTAAGTTCTTACAGTGCAACACAAGGTAGATTTATACACTGGAAAAATATCTATTTCTGACTAAGATAAAGAGAGAGAATTTTTTTTTTGACACAGCATGATGATTAGTCAATATAATATCATTGTGCCTGGACACTATTGAAAATGCAAAGCTCTATACTTAAAATTCAGGTCTGAAATTAGAGCTGATCAGGAGCTCTGATTGGTTTACAAGTTCTCATGGAATGATTAACCCATATAATTCTGCAGACAGCTAAATTACTGCCCTAAAGACTGTATTTCTGGCCTTTGTTCACCATAATTTCCAAAGAAAATTTTCAATGCATACATTTCATACTAATGACTGGGAGGAAAGGAGTACAGGGGAAAAAATTCTATAATTTATTCCTGTTTGCACTAGTCAGCCACGCTTTTCATGCTGATGTCAAGATAGATATGAGGAAGTCAGCATAGTTAAAATGGTATTTAAGTCAGCAATGAGTTTTAAAAATGTTTCTTTTCTTATAGGCTTAGCAATACACTATCTGGTTCACTTGCATCTATGGAACTCAGGCTTGAATTGATTATACTTTAGAATTTCTGCTAAATTAAGCTAGTCAGTTTTTATGCTTTATTTTCTTTAAAAATACACATATTTTTTTAATAAATGCACCTTTAATGAGAGTTGCTGGATTAGAAATTCCTTAGGCATTATATAACTCAGAATCTCATCTAATCATATAACAAATCACTCATTCTTGAGGTAAAACTGGTAGTATTATCAAAACTTACTTTCAGAAAGATGGTGTAAAATTGCTGCCTTAAGCACCAACAAACACATTCAATGAAAGCCCAATGAAGACATCTTGGTTCACCAAGGCATTTGTAGAATAACAATTGCTCCAGGACAAGTTTGCCTTTTTTCAATTGCCTTTTTAATTGCTTTTTTTTTTTAAAGAATCTTGTTTTAATTTTTGTATTTTTATTGACTCTTAGGATTGTTGGTTTATTGTTGATAGTTACATTTAAGGTTCTTTTAATTGTTCTTTGTAAACTGCTTTGGGCATCTTGGAAGGAAGAATAGTAAAAAAAATAGTATAGAAATATATTGATTACAGCTTTAAAAGAGATTTGGTATCATATAAAATTAAATTTGTCATCAGTATTTTTCTCAATCCACCCTTAGGCTCAGTACAATCTCCTAGCACGAAATCTGGATAACTTCCAGAAGTGGTAGTTTCTTATATAAATTCCAGTATGAAATCTGGATTCTGGAATACCTCTTACCTGCCTCATTCAATCATAAAGGATCCAAATGCCAAGGATCAACAAAATGTAACAAATTAGTAATATATCAATAATCTATTATATATAGTACCATTAAATGGAAAAGGAAACATGTTTATGAAAGTCTGATGTCTCAACTATGTAGGGCCTCATGAAGGCCCCTGTTTTATGGATCAGGAGCAACTCAGACTAAGACTTCTGGGTAGTCCTGGTCCCTATCATTCTGTCCCATTTTCTGCAAAAAGGGTGAACATTTTCAGATAGCCTATGTATTAAAGGAAAGATTTATTTATTAAATTTTTATGTCGCCCATCTGATACAGTGACTCTGTATGTTTTTTACTTTTTCTAGCTACTTGTCTCTTAGTCCCAGACAAAACGTTTCTGGTTTCAGCTGTACTTTAACTTTTAATATTTTCTGAATTAATGCATGCATTTGTATCCAAATATTTTGGCCTTTTTACATGTTCACCAAATATGATAAAATGATTCTTCATATTGTACACATTTCCAGCAAACATTCCAAATACTTTATGCATTCTAGACAATTTCTCTGGGAACAAATTCCAAGTATACATCATCTTATAAAAATTCTCTTTAAGCATTGCCCACCAGATTGATTTTGTCACACATAGGTCAGAGTCTCTCTGCTAAGAAGTCTGTTCCAAAAATCCAAGCAAGATTTTGGCACAGAGCATTTGCAGCATGGGTGCTTCCAGCCAGCCCCCATAATCAAGATTGTCCAAACTCCTGCTTGGATTTTCATATGGAATTCCTTTCCATGAAGGGCAGATGAACTGCAGCACTGAACTGGAGAAAAGAATTTCCTTGCTCTTTTGCTCCATCTGCTTAACAAGTGTAACGGGGAAAGTAGGGATTGCAATCGTTGAGCAAGGTAGTCATGTGGACATTTCACTTGATGACTGCAATGACATACGACCTAAATTCCAGGCTTAATTGTGGTCATAAGTCAAAGACTACATATATGCAAAAAATTACAGCAATAAAAGCACACTCATTTTCTGTAAAGTGTAATAGTCAAAGAAATGACCATTATATGAGGCTCCTATTGATAGATTCAAATATGTGAACAACTGGTTCTCTGTATGGATGCTGCTTCTGGAAGGCCATTCTGGGTCTGGGCAACAAAAAATTAGCTACCGGTTCTGCCAAAGTGGTGCGAACTGGCTGAATCCCACCACTGAGCCTGACGCTGTCAGCTTTGAAGACTTGGCATTGGGGCCAGAATGTTTGAAGAGTTTGTCCTAAGAGATGCAGAATATGTGTTTTGTTGTTGTTGATTTCTGGTTGCTTTGATATGGGGCATTTTGTAATATTGCTATTGTTGGTGTATGCTGCATGGAATTATGCTTTATAAATTGGGCAGGCTTTTAAGTTAATAAATAAATAATCAGAATTAACAACAGATTCTAATGGCTGTTTTGATTTATTGCATGTTGGCTTGTTCACATGGCACATGATGTATTCTCCGATTTCTAAAATTCATTCTTCCCAAACTATATTTATGACACCTTCCATAGCAATTGTGATTTTCAAGTTATGTGTGCTGGAAGGTAAGAGAAAATTTTAAGTAGCGAGAGTGAAAAAAAAAGCAAATAGAGTTAATATAATAAGTATTTGAAGTAGGAAAGCAAAATATAATAAAATGAACAGCAAGGGAGAAATACAAGGTAAAAAATATGAGCTTTTAATAATTTATTTAAGTGGAACTAAAGAGGCCAGACAAATATTTAGATGAAGAGAACTATATATTTGTGAGGTCATGAGAGGAAAAAGAACAATGATAAGAAACAGCAGTAGAAATAAGAAATTTAATAAGAATATGAGAAAGATGAAAAAGTACAAGCTCATAGAGGAGTTTGAAAGTTCACATAAAGTATTCAGATTTAACACAGATTAACAGTGAAACAAAAATTGTATTAGTATAATAATTGTATTTCTTCATATTTTAAAGGAGGAATGTTGAAAAAGAAGAGAAACAGGATCACCCTTGGGAAGAGATGAAAATATAAGGGCCCGTTTTTTTTACAATTGAGGAAAGAATTCCATTTTCAAAGCTAACAGGGATTATGTCACAAGACATCAAGGCCACTTCCATACCTCAGGATTTCTGTTCTCCCATCCCTAAGAAAGATTATAAAGTGAACTTGGCACTTTACATTAATCAACTTCAGTGAAAATATGAATAAGCCAGTCAATGATTTCTTTAACTGACAAACAGTAATGAGCTTGGTTGTTTGCTGGCAGATATTTTGTTACCTGACTAGATAACTTATGCTGAAGAAATTACTAGTCAGGAAACAAAACATCTGCAAGCAAACAACTAAGTTCAGAAAGCACAAATGACTTAACAGGAATAACATTCCATTTATATCACACCTCAACAACCACAGATTCCATAGTAACAAGAATCCCTTCAATCCTACTCTGTATAAAGAAATATAATGAAAGCTCGGTTTGCCAGTGATAAAATGAATTTGGCTTGATATAATCTCTGATTTAAATAGCAATTGTGAACAAGGGACATACATCTTTTCCACCAAATGCCTGTTAAATCAAGGTTTTCATGAAAACTAAAAAGGTAGCCACACCTTTCATTCATGTTACTATGATAGGAATCTTTTATATAAAAAGAAATATCCAAACAATCTTGGTATAATTTCTTTACTATTTTTCAAGCCTCTAAAAGTAAAAGGATAGCATTCTGGCAGAAGTCAGAGAGCCAAGGACACAGGAGACAATGTGAATCTTGCCAACAAGAAAACAGATTGTTTGCAAGCCTAGCAGAGTTAAAGCATTTTAAGAAAAACACAAGCTTTGCTTCTGTATCAAATAAACAACACAGAGGAACACACACACACATACACATAAATACAAATCTTATTTACTTTTAAAACCAGTTAACTTCATGAAATTACACAGGACTGGAGCTGTTTCCATATTGATTCAAAGCCCTCATATAAAAGTCAGATAAGAGAGAAAAGTGGAAAGGGGAGGGAACTGAAACAAAAATATATTTTAGTTCAATTAAAAAAGAAAAGCAAAATCAGAACAAAAATTGGGTCAGACAAGGAAAATGTAAGAAACTGATAAAATGAAGAAAGGAGAAATGGGGGCAGGAAGGAATGAATTATAGAAAATCGTAAATAAAACTTTGGACAAAATAAAAAGGATGAATGAAAAATTAGAAAAACAAGGTGAAAAATTTAAAATTAAATTTTGAGGATGAGAATTGGAGAACACAGATAACAGAGGTGCTGTTTACAATGCCAGCTATAGCAAATTGCATGAAAATCAAAATGACATGTACATGTTGGTATAATCAATTTCACCATTTGCATGATGACACTGTTAATCACATAACATTATTTGCCTATGGATATGAAATAAGAAAACATGACTTTAAAAAATAAT